CACACATTGATCTTAACGATGTGCTGGTTGCTTCACAGATTCATCTGCTGCATTGAGTAACCTGCAAACATCAAAAGCTTGCAGTAGCTGCTGGTTTACACATTAAACATAAGCTCAGAAATGAAAAGTAAACCAGGATTAAGGAACATGTTTGCATCATTCACATAAACTCTGTCTCATATCTCATAGACCCTGATTTGCCTCACCTGCTGTCTTTTTCTTACTCCTGTTTGGTACAATAGTAGAACAGTAGGAGTAAGAAAATGATTATTGGTCTATTTTAATATTTTTTTTTGGCCCCCACTCTGTTGGAGGTACAGCTCTGTTAAACCACTCCAGTATCTGTTTCAAATTAAAAGGCCTATAGCGTTTTAGTGGACAGAAAATATTTATTTCTCAACCGGACTTTTATTGTGAAATCTGCAGAAAACTCCAGGTTTTTCAGCTGATTTCACAGTAAAAGTCCTGTTAAGAAACACACAGCATAAGAATATCTACAGCTGACAAAGCAAAGTCTTAAGTTTAATTTTAGTAAGCAGGTTTCTGTCTCCTGAACCCAAACTGGGAGCTGTTTCCACGGAGGCGGGGCCTGAAAGCTGAAGGCTCTGCCTCCCATTCTACTTTTAGAAGCTTGGGGGAAGAGAGGAGGATGTTACTCTCAATGTTGTTGGCGCATTTCAGGAGGACGCTGCTAATTAAGTTAGACAATTACAGGGTGAATTCGCGTTTATTATTATATTTACAAAATACCACAGTTCTTGTCTTGGTCGTATAGTTTTATTTTGTTGTATTTATCCGCCACACATTAACTGGTCCGTGAAAATATTGTCTGACATTAAACCGGTCCGTGGCGCAAAAAAGGTCTGGCCCGCTGCTCTAGGATATGATGGGGCCTCATTAGTCTAGATCTGAATGAAGAAAGCCAAGAGAAGCCAAAATGGGAGAAATGTGGTCTCTCTTTCTAGTCCCAGTTGAGTTTTTGGATTGACTGAAGCTCTTTATTATTTCCATGTTTAACCCCCGAAACGCCACCATTTTAAAAAATAAATAAATAATGCGAGTAAACTTTTTTTTTTTTTTTTAGACTGTAGGACATCAAACACAAACTTTTCACGTGTGCTGTAAATCCTTTCAGACTTTTCTTTTCCCGTGGAGGCTTGAAATTGAGTTTCTATCTGACCGTTTTTTTTGTTCTGGAATGTTTTAACAATTTTTTCCTAAAGTGCGCAATCATCAGGAAAAGTCTGGCTTCAGCAAAGTTTCTTCTATTTCATTAAATAACAGCAGCCCACCTCCTATAACATCAGAGATTTTCATTTTTGCCTCATTTCCCTGCTTCTAACAAGCAATAAGCATTTAATTTCCCCTGAACCGCCCGTGTGGGCTGTCAGTAATTGCATTGTTTCCCTCCTGAGAGCTGGCTGCCTACAGTCCATCTGTGACCAGGCTTATTGCTTGGGAAATGATTTACTATTGCATTATTTTATCAATATAACACATAACATGAGGCTCTCCTGGTCTCCGGCCAGGACTGTGGATTCCTGGCAGCTCTGCAGGAAAACTCCAACCAACAAGACGGCAGAAGAAACTAATTGGCAGCATCTTTCCTCCATCAACATGAAGCATTTGGAGTTTGTTGCTTAAAATAGGCCCGGATTGTGGCTTTGTGAATAATAACTTTGTTCTCTCAGAAATGACGCAGGATTATTCTGCATTTATTAAAGTACTGCAACACCTCTTTGGGAGGTCCAGATGCAGCAAACAGCGTTCGAGACGATTACCGTGACCTTCCCCAGTCATCGTAGTTACTAAATATTCAATATAGAAATCTTCAGAAAGTTCATTCATGGTGTCTTAAAATCCTGTCCTCTTATAAAGCGATTCATTCGTCTTGCAGACGAAGCCAATCCCAGACTTCGGACCTTTGCGGTCCAGTTTGAAATGTCAAAAATCTTCCGTGACCCACCCAAACCCTGAACTCGGATCATCACATAAGCAGAAAGTTTAGTTTTTGATCATTTGATTCCCAAACAACAGCTTTAAAATCCAGTTTAAATTCGATTTTCGTCCACCGCGTGCTGAGATGAGACGAGTTAAGGACCAAAAACAGGTCCAACGATGATAACTGGAGCAATGACAGGGCATTAATAAAGTGCGTAGCTGTGTTTCAGTAGTTCAGTTTCTTTTTAAAATGTTAATATTTTATGATTGTTTTAAACTACATTAGACAATCTGAGACTACAGGCCCTCAAACTACACAGGTATTAATATTGTTGGGTTTGTCTTTATAAAGAAAGCGCCTGTATTCTTTATAAATGCAGGCGCTGTCTATACAAACACATTTAATCTCAAACCAAATCAATTTTATATCCACCGTCTCATTTTGTGAGTGTCAACATGGTTTCAATGAACTACATCAAATGTCCCCCCATCTCTAAGAGCTTCCAGGGCCTGTAAATATTCACAGCATGAAGGACTTTGTTAAATATGATAAAGTTATTGTACAAAAAGTCCCCGCTGACTCTCAGGAGGTCAGGAGGAGGCACTCTGGTGTCCGCACGCATCACTACAACAACACGATTGCTTCCTGTTTGTGCTCTTGAGGCCGGTTTATTGGAGCACAGGTGCAGAACAACCGCCATCCTCAGGCTTTCCCAATTTTTAGGGTGTCCTAAAAATCTGAATGATAAAATAGGAAGGAAGAAGAAAATAGAAATATAAAAAATGGTCAACATCCATGTTGACCTTACGTGGCTCATGTACGTCGCTGACAGCCCTCTGCAGCATCTTCAGGACCGCACCGCTTCACGTCAGTCTCAGTCAGCGCGTTCCTCAGAAGCGGGAAACGCGCTCCCTGCAGCGGTGCTGTCTCGGACAGCTTGCACACCTCAGATTTCACACCTCGCCCAACGAGCTTGAGCTTCAAATAAGTTGAACTTTAACCCTGTTGTCAGTTGACATTTCACAACAGGTCCAGTCTCATTACAGAGAAGAGAGCCCACGGGCGTGAGAGGACTCGCTTCTCATTGGCTGCGAGGTGATGTTTGTAAATTACAAAACAGGAATCCTCAACATTACTTATCTGCCTCTCTTCCTGCTCTTCCACATCTCGGTCCTGCTTTCGACGTCATCGTCTGACAGCTCATTAGGATTACTTTTGTTATTTTCTGATATCAGAATTCGCTCCGCTGCAGCTGCGGCGCTAAACATTTCTTGGTGGGCTTACTGTCACCTCTGCAGAGCCACACTCCGAAATCTTCCGCTCATTATTATTTACTCATTCTGCTGGGCTGCGGCTCCTGCTCCTCAGACTGTTTTCTCTTTCTGCAGGTGACAGTGATCCACCAAAGTCTGTCAGGATTTGAGTTTTGGCTCAAAAGGCAGCTCAGTTATTAAAGCAGCTCTGCATTCATGCCTGCAGAAAGCAGCTTTATTTATTATGACAAAGGTATGACTTCTACAAATGTATGTTTGAGTGAAAAAGGTTTATTTCAAGCAACAAATGGGTTTATTGGGCATGAACAAAGGTCTACAAGCTTGTTAAAATGTGTTATTAACCCTGAAGTGGAAAGTCTGTATGTTTAAGTGTCTCCAACACCTTTTTTTTTGTCTTTTAAGTGGTCAGACTCTTTCTGCAAACCTTGAATGTCTTCAGTTGTTTTCTGCTCCTTGCACAGCTTTCTATTGTAAGGTAAAGAGCCTACGATTATAGAAAGAAAACCCCATATTAGCACGCTCTTGGCGAAAGTGGGAAGGAAAAACCTCTGGCGGATCCAGGCTCAGGGAGAGGTGGCCATCCGCTGCAACCGGTTGGGGTGGAGGAAGGAGACGGGACAAAAGAGCTCCAGAGGTTGATTGCAGGCAGACCTGCCTCTTTTCAGCTGTTCTGGAAAGCCAGCAGAGAGACATCATCTCTGCAGAATGAGGTCTCACAGATGGGCGTCTCATCCTTGTCAGATGCTGAATAACCCAGACTGCATCCTTTTGATGTGGCGTAGCGGCAGCTCTGCTCTGAGCTCCTCAGCCTGTCTCTGAGGCTGAGCCCACGCACTCTTCTGCTGCTTGCATCTTCGATCTCATTCCTTAGGTCACTACCCAAGCTCGTGACTGTGGCTGCGGGTACCTGACCAGTAAATCAAAAGCCACTGCTTCCTGCTCAGCTCTTATTCTTTGCTTGTGAATGTCTACAACGCGTGGGATAGAAGGGCATGGCTGCTGTTGGCCGTTTCTATAACTCTGTTTCTTCTCTGTTTACAGTAGTTTCATCTTTATCTGGTTACTGTTGATTTTATTACAGTTTTCCCCTCGAGAGTAACACAGTAATCCTCAGCCTTTGAAGGTTTGCACTGTTGGTTTGCGATAGCTGACCCATCGGACAGGCAGCCGGCCTGAACGCTCAGTCATTCAGTCAGAAGCCTCCATGATTCATCAGTGAGCCAATCAAAGTCATTATTTCAGTCCTGACTTCTTCTCTCTTTTCTGATGTCGCAGTGAAGGAAGGCCTGTTGAAATCTCTGCCTGGCACAGACTTTGCAGTGTTTCTGTTTCCTCTGTCTGTGCGCGCGCGCGCACACACACACACACACACACACACACACACACACACACACACACACACACACACCCCTCTGGTTGAGGCAGGTCGATACCCTCATTGATTTCTCCTTTTTTCCCAGCTGCTCTGATTGATTCTTTTCAGATCTTTTCTCCTGTTATTCTGTACTTGTTCTTTCCTCCTGGCTTCCTTCCTTCCTTCCTTCCTTCCTTATGGCCTGAAAGCTTCTTGCGTCGTTCCTCCTGTACAGATTTTTGAGTTCAATGTGATAAATTGATTCTTGGTTGTTGTTCAGTCATTTAAACATTAAGTAAATAATTTGCTTTCTTGTTTTCAGTCCAGCTTGTTTAAGGTGTTTGTTTCTCGTGAACGGTCACCGCAGGGGGGTATTTTTAATTTTTCTTTCTAAGCATCCTCTCTGTTGTTGTTTTGGTCTCTCTGGCAGGGCGGGACACCCCAACACACCATCGGGGGCGGGTCAGGATGGCGAGGAGAACCCGTCAGCGCTGGCTGAGAACTGCTTCAGAGAGCTGCTGGGCCGAGCGGCGTACGGCAACATGAACAACGCTGTGCGACCCGTGCTGGTGTGAGTACCTGAAGTATCGTACACTCGCTCCTTGAGGATTCAGACTTACTGTGATAAGCTCCCCATAAGTGTTCCAGATGTCTGCCCCGGTTTATCATCGGGCGCACGGTGGATCCACGAGTGTTTCAGAAACGGAGCATTTGAGTCTGCCGGTAGTCTTTTATTTTGAAAATTGACTGGCTTCTCCCTGCTGACTTCCTGCCTCCTCATCTTTTCTGTGAAGCTTGAAGATGTGCTATTGAAACGTG